TCATAGGCAGTGCTCTTGGACACAGTGTCCGGGCCAAACGCGGTATTGATGTCAGCGATGGAATTGGCTGCCTTCTTCTTGATTCGGAAGTCATAAAGAAGAAGCAGGCGAACTTGCTCCTTAGTAAGAGGGTAGGGCTGGTTCATGGCTGGAGAGCACCAGGGCTGTAATAATATACGGTTGTATGCCGAAGGACACGACCTACTTATAAACACAAGCAGAACATTCTAGCATGCTCTGGAAAAAAATTGTACTGGATATTCAAGAAATTCCGAGAACTTTCTTTCCAATCAGATATAAGACTATCCCTCTAATTGATTCAACTCATACACTAGGTATGTATCAATATGACACTAGTTATAGGTACAATTACATACTGTATATAAGTATCTTCAGGTACTGCCCAAAGCCCAACTTTGGTCCCGACTGCAAAGTCAGAAGGTAAGGAATCCCCCCTATAGAAGGGCCTTTACTCGTTATGATTATTCCGTTTAGTTGGCTGCCATTCGTGTAGTGTTTCAGAAGATGCAGCTTGCCTGCTATGACGTTTCCCGCCATAAGTTTCGCCTAATTCAGATGAGTATGAAAGAATTGTATTTTTGGGAGGGTCTCAATCATTTTCTTTCCTTTCTGCATGTACAATCTCCCCTTTTTGTTTTTGTCCGTGAAGATACTCTCTATATATGAGCGACTACCAAATAAATATTCATTGCTATAAATGGGAAGCCATCAATCATAGCAATAATTTACTAATTTATTACAAAAGTGTTAACAATGCAAATGAGTTCAACCAATCATTTTATTACTGACGTTGCAATGCTTGAGATGGCACCTCCCTCAATGCTCACATTTATTTTGAAACAGGTTCTAGGGGTCAACCAGTGAATTCAACACGGTGGCGCATTTGTAAACTTGCAGAAAGGAAGAGATGCTGAGTGTGGTCAGATTTTTGAACAGGATTTGTGTCTCTCTCAGTTTGAAGCGCCTGTTGTGTTCGATGAGCTCCTCAGCATCGCGCATCGTCTCCGGCTAGATCGTGCGGTTTCTGCCGGACCAGGTCGAGCGGCGTCTTGGAGATCAGCGGCACCGCTTCTGAGCCCCATGCATGCGCGCGGGCCTGTGACATAATCGTATGACCATTGACATTCTTCGTCCTACAATGGATATGTTCACAAATCTGGCATCTCTTCTTTGGTGCAAGTTTCCAGCGGCGCCACCATTTTGAATTTACTGGATGACCTCTAGAACTTTTTTAAAAAACAAAGGTGAGCATAGAGGCACGTTCCAACTGAACCAAAGCAACAATGTAACACTGTCAGAGGTAAAATTTACATTGTTAAAGTTATACTTTTCCCTCTTTCATTTGAACCACCCAAATATATACTAAAACCATGTGCAGTTATCCTTCATGAAAAATTCCAGTCACATTATTTTCTCGTTTTACGACTTATAATCATTTCTTTTGAAATTGAGAATGACATCCTTCATGGTGGAAATTGACTTCGATGGAAACAGAGCTGGTTCGCAGGCGTGTTCGGCGTGGGTTATCTGCGAGAAAGAGGCTTGGGGGAAGTGTTCGTCATGTGATTCCATGTCGAAATGCGAAAGAAATGAAGGGAATAATCATCGTACAGGAAGAATAAATTGAAATATGCATGAATGTTGGTGGTAATGATCTCAGGTGATGAACCTAGTTACTTCAAGTCCACCAACGAAAAACGTGCGCTTAATCAATAAGTCTGAACCCAGCCCCGTGCCAAGTCATGTAGGGGAAAAAAATAGGAACTTGGGAAATGTGACGTTTTATCGTAGACTTAAGTACACCAACTATAATATTCCTGAGTTTAGTGAATATGCAAAACATTAAAAATACACTTGCAGTACAGTCATGTACAAAGTAGCATATTTGAATTTAATTACAACGACTGAAGAAAAGTGTTCGATATCCTTGACTGTACACTTTGGTTCTTTTGAACTGGAATGATCTACTGATTATTGCAAGGCAATTTATTCCCCCAAGAGTTTTTTTTTATTTTCGTGAATGAATCACCGAATACGGGCGACGACCAGTGACTTCAGTCTCATCTTCATCTATCACTCGAGCTCGTGACTTCTTGAAGAGGAATCAGAGACACTCGACTGACCGGAGACATGCGAATTATTTCCATGGATCTCTTCAAACGTGACCAAATCATCGAGGAATGCCGAAGGTTTTTCCTTCCATCGGATTGTCCAAATTCCCGGAGTGACCAGAGGCGTCATTTCTGAAGAGACATATGATGTTATAAATGCTTAACAGCATTTATAATGGGAACCCTGCTAAGTCTTGATCATCCCCATGACATGGCTCCCTGGGGGTTACTTTGTTTCCCCCCAATCTGAAGAACGAGCTGAAATTATGAATACGTTCGACAAATCCAGTATATGTAATTTAATTCGGCAATGAATCCAGTCATAGCATTTCGAGGACAACCCGAGGAAAACGAAGAAATCGCTTGTACTCAGCTGGAAGAGAACGTCCGTCCTCGTCGATATAAGAAGCGAACAGCCGAGGTCGAAATGCAGAAAATGGAATTCATCTCGGGAAATGGCGAAGACGAAAGCGGTGAAATAGACCCACCAGGGAATGAGCTCATCTACGTTGATATAGTGTCTTACTTCGATGAAGAGGACGAGTTCAGCTCTGATAATGTCTTTCTAGTATAAAACCATTCGTTTCTTTATGAAACTTTGAATGAATGAAGGCAAAAGTCATTCGCATCTGGTCTTCTTTTCCTTGCTCCATTCTGCTGATGATTCCGGCTCACAATGTGGCATGGTCGGTCGATGAGCACATACTAAATGACGACCTGGTGTACGCAACGCTTCTAAGCCCTACGGTGGAATGTCTTGTGTCAAGAAACTCAACGATAAATTTTACAATATAATCCATTGACATAAATATACTGATTTCCCTTTGAAGATGGTTACATGATTAATGGACTGACCAGCAATTCCTCATTACGAGTAGTCGTTGGAGACAGCTTAGCGATTCACGCAATTATTTCATTTTCTGTCACCATGTTTTCGTGCTGGCATACGTGCTTGT